CTGCTGCACCACCATCAGCTGTTGCTGCACTATGGTCAGCTGCTGCTGCACCACAGTCAGCTGTTGCTGAGCCATGGTCAGCTGCTGCTGCACCAAAGTCAGATGTTGCTGCACCATGGTCAGCTGTTGCTGCACCATGGTCAGCTGTTGCTGCACCACGGTCAGCTGGTCTTAGTGGCATTAAAAGAAGAAGGGAAGTAATCCCGGTAAAGGACGTGCTACCTAAAGTCCTAATGGAAGGGGATTCTCCTTCTAAACATTACAACTTCCACACTCTCCTGTCTTCCCATCCCATCAATCATCACCAGATCTTCAATAAAGGTAAGTGTCTGTTTGTGTGTAATAAAATTAGTACTTCATGTGGCAAAAAAATTTTTTTTTCATACTTTGTGGTGTCTTGCACGGATTAATTTGATTTCCATTATTTCTTACGGGGAAAATTAATTCACCTTACGATAATTTCGGCATCCGATGAGCTCTCAGGAACAGATTAATATCGTAAGGTGGGGGTCCACTGTATAAGCGACTTCTCCACACATATGCTGTATTCTATTCAAGATTGATGGACTGACCACATCAACTCAAGGTTGAGGGGCTGATTACCTCATTCTCCTCCTGTTCTTCATGTTTCTTCTTTGTATGGACTGATGAAGCCACTGTGCGGTGAAACGTTTCCTCAATAAAGATACCCAAGAGTTGCACATGTGTCTAATTTATCAAAAAACAGAAGATTTACTGTCATGCAACATTGTAATACTGTAATTGTATAAATAATATCAGCACATTTGTGAACATATATTAGACCCACCAGCTGGCGTGTATTAGACATGTGAGGTCATTTGTTTACTCTTGAATATCGGTAAAAATTTAACATTTCCACTACTTTGAGCTCAGTTTCAAGCCATTTTCAGTACTAAAACCAATCAAAATTATCTCTATTTCCATAATATATCCTCCATTCTATCAAATGAGACAAAGAAATTGCAAATACAACTATAAAAAAATACGAAAAACACTGCAAAGCTGCTGTTTTAATTGAAAATTATGGTCCCAGTTTTTTCTCTCATTATGCATTGTTTGTTGCAGGATTTGTTGTATGTGGTGCACACATACCACATAGATGTATTCTCTCATATCTAGGCCCAAATTTAGAGCTCACAGCTTATCAGAGTGAGCTGAGCTCATGGCGTACATCTACAGTTTGGACCCTCAATGTAAAGCCGTAGATCTACGGCATGGACTCCGAAAGGGTTAACCCTTTGACTGTCGCAACCCCAAATTCTGAGTCCTGGTGTCGAAAATTTTTCGAAAAAGAAAAAAAATTATTTTTTCTAATGAAATGATAAAGAATCCTTTCCCGGTGGTAATGACACCAAAAAAATGAAATTTGATGGAAAACTTATGAAATTACGCTCTCGTGAAGTTAGTGACCTCGGCAATATTGACGAATCGGCGATTTCGCCCACTTTGAGCCCTATTTTTGGCTAATTCCATTTTTCTAGTCGACCAAACTCATAGCTATTTCTTACAACTCCATTTGTTCTATTGACTGAGTACAAGAAACTGCCCATTTACCAATTTCAACTACCCAATAACATGGTCAGAAATTTACAATTTGGCCAATTTTACGAAAATTAAAAAATATGCCAATTTCAAAATAGGGTCCAGAATGAACAATGCAGACATTCCTGGCTCTAAAATAACATTTTCTTTGTTCATCAGTCATGTCTCCAGGCCCCTCTGATATTACTCTTGCTTTCTATTTTGAATTTTTATTCAAACAAACAATAGATTTACTGTTATGCAGACTACTGCAATATTGTAATAATTGTATAAATAATGTCAACTCATTCTTGATTGCATAATAGAGTGACTAGTTGGACATTTATTAGACAATGACAACATTTGTTTACTTTGGAAAATCGGCTAAAATCAAACATTCACCGTACTTTGAGCTCTCTTTCAAGGTCCTTTTCATAGTAAAACCAACCAAAAGCACCTCTATTTCTATATGTTTTCCATTCTATCAAATGAGACCAAGAAAACAAGAATACAACCATAAATACTATACGAAAATACACCACAAAGTCGGCGTTTTAATCCAAAAACACGGTCAGTTTTTTTTTTCTCATTATGCACTGTGTGCTGCAGGATTTTCTTTATATGGTGCACACTGACCACACAGACCCATTCTCTCACATGTGGGCCTTCAGTATTCTCCTGCTTGATTTGAAGCTACTAGAATTTTTGAGTATATACACGTCAAACACGGTGGCTCGTAAGACGTATATATATGACCGAAACAGTGAAAGAGTTAATAGACAAAGTCCACTGAGTAAATTTATTTCAGATTTAATGAAGTCCATTAAATTCAGAATTCCCATTATTAATAAGATTTTGGAAAAACAATTTCAATATTCGGACTTCAAGAACAATCTACATTAATGGACACTCCCTCCATCCTATTAGTCCCTTAACCCTGTCAGTGGTCGTCACATAGATCTACATTACTGATGCCAGGATCCCTTAGGTATTTTTTTTTTTTTTTTTAACAAGTCGGCCGTCTCCCACCGAGGCAGGGTGACCCAAAAAAGAAAGAAAATCCCCAAAAAGAAAATACTTTCATCACCATTCAACACTTTCACTTCATTCACACATAATCACTGTTTTTGCAGAGGTGCTCAGAACACAACAGCTTAGAAGCATATACCTATAAAGATACACAAACATATCCCTCCAAACTGCTAATATCCTGAACCCCTCCTTTAGAGTGCAGGCACTGTGCTTCCCATTTCCAGGACTCAAGTCCAGCTATATAAAAATAACCGGTTTCCCTGAATCCCTTCACTAAATATTACCCTGCTCACACTCCAACAGATCGTCAGGTCCCAAATACCATTCGTCCCCATTCACTCCTATCTAACACGCTCACGCACGCTTGCTGGAAGTTCAAGCCCCTCGCCCACAAAACCTCCTTTATCCTCCTCCCTTAGGTATATCCATGCATAAATTCTAGTGGCTTTAAATTTAGTGTGAGAGGCCTGGTAATCCTACATATGAGAGAACAGTTCTGCACAATCAGTGTGTGCAGAATACAAAAAATAAGGGCTTTCACTGTGCACTGTGGGAACACCATATTTAGTAGGGAGCATTGAAATTTTGCTCGCATATGGAAGCAAAAAATCAATCGACTGCTCGTATTTGGAAAAACTCGCACATGGATGCACTCGCAAGTAGAGGTTCCACTGTCCTATCGTACCGGTCAGCTGCTGCTGTACCATGGTCAGCTGCTGCTGCACCACCATCAGCTGTTGCTGCACCACCATCAGCTGCTGCTGCACTACCATCAGCTGCTGCTGCGCCACCATCAGCTGCTGCTGCTGCTGCATCACTGTCAGCTGTTGCTGCACCACCATCAGCTGCTGCTGTACCACCATCAGCTGCTGCTGCACCACCATCAGCTGCTGCCGTACCACAGTCAGCTGCTGCTGTACCACAATCAGCTGCTGCTGCACCACTGTCAGCTGTACTACTCGAAGATGTGGAGAAACTGTTGTTGGTGTGGCTTAACAAGAAACAATTACATGTACTGAGAAACAATTAACCCCAGATGGTTAGCCACCCTGGATAACCCAAGAAAGTCAGTGTGTCATCGAGGACTGTCTAACTTATTTCCATTGGGGTCCTTAATCTTGTCCCCTAGGATGCGACCCACACCAGTCGACTAACACCCAGGTGAACAGGAAAAAATGCCTGGAACTAGTGCTCATATTGGTGAATTTAAGGCCAGCAAAAGTTGGTTTGAGAGATTTAAGAATCATAGTGGCATACACAGTGTGATAAGGCATGGTGAAGCTGAAAAATTCCAACCCCAACTAGTGCTCAGTTGTGACGAAACAGGCCTGTTCTGGAAGAAAATGCCAAACAGGACCTACATTACTCAGGAGGAAAAGGCACTCCCAGGACACAAGCCTGTGAAAGACAAGCTAACTCGCATATTTTGTTGTAATGCTAGTGGGGATTGCAAAGTGAAGCCTGTACTCGTATATCACTCTGAAAATCCCAGTGTGTTCAAGAAAAACAGTGTCTCATCACTCATCAATACTCTTCAATAAAGATAAGTGTCATTTTACTATTTATTTATGTATGTATTGTGCATGTCTCATTGTTTTCTACGTACAGAAATGTATATTTCACGTAAAAAAATTATTTTTTTTTTTAATACTTTCGGCTGTCTGGAACAGATTAATTGGATTTCCATTATTTCTTATGGGGAAAATTAATTCGGCCAACTATAAAATCAGTTAAGGACAAGCTCTCTGGAACAGATTAAAATCATTATGCGAGGGTCCACTGTAGGTGGTTTCTTGTACTCAATCAATAGAATGGAAGGCATTCTAGAGAAATAGCTAAGAGTTTAGTCAACTGGAACAATGGAACTGTCCTAAAGTAGGACTCAAATTGGGTGAAAGAGCTGATGCGTAAATATCAACTGAGACATCTAACATTGTGAAAGCACAATTCCGTAATTTTTTGTTAAATTTCGTACTTTTGGTGTCATTACCTTCGGAAAAAGATTCTCTTATCATTTCATAAGAATTTTTTTTTTTTAAATTCTTTAGCCCTGGGAGCAATTTTCAGATCAGGGGTGTGGACCCTGAAAGGGTTAATTAGAATTTTTTATTGACTTACTGAATACCTTCAATATAATACATATTCCTATTCTCATGTAATATGTATGTCTCATTTGTCTAGTAATTACAAGACAGTTTTAAGGTTGCCTGAAATGCCTTGTATAACAAGGGGCTTCTATAAATTAGTTTATACATGTCAATTACCATAATTGTATAGTGTACAGTACTCTGCTTATGGATTAAATGAGGTAGTGTTCAAAAGTATATTAAATGAGGTGCTTTATAAACAAATTAGGCAATATGAAGAAGGGAGAGCTATCAATAAACTTATAGAACATTAAAACTATTAATAAAATTAAGACTTACCATATACTATCTCTGAGAGACTTGGCCACAGCAGCCACATATATAGCCAGATCTCCATAGAGGTATATGCAAAGCACAATATAAAATACTTTGTCCCACACTGAAACAGAAGAAATTTATAAAATATACACTTTACTGTACTTATATAACATACAAGTTAGCACTATACAGTGCAGTATGCTATAACAAATGGTTTAAATAACTAATATTTACATAATGAATGGTGTTCCCTATAAAACTGAAAATATTAAAAAGTTCAAAAAGATGGCAGAGGAACTGCCTGTAGAACAGTCACCAAAGAGGACTAGGAAGGATGACTCCACTCCTTCCACCTCTTCTCAGTAATTCTCTCCTCCTCTGCCTCTTGTCCTGCATGCTTAACAACACTCAGCTAGGATAAAGTACACTATTTTTTATTATTTTTGGTACTAATTTATTATTTTTTATTACAAGTATTAATGATATTCTTTATTTAAGAAGTTTACATGCACATTTATGCACTTTTTTACAATTTATATTGTGTGTGTGTGTGTTGTGATGAATGGTTTGAAAAACCGACAAGTTGAAGATTGAGACACTTATGCAGCATATGGGAATCTTTATTCAGGAAACGTTTCGCCACACAGTGGCTTCATCAGTCCATTACAAAGAGGAAGGCGTAAGGAGAGGAGGAGTATGAGGTAATCAGTCCCTCAGCCTGGAGTCGATGTGTTCAGTCCATCAATCTTGTAGAGTGGTACAGCATAGGGCCGTAGACGTGGCTTTATATACTGTAGTGAGGTGATTTGAAGCAGGTGGAGGCGGGATCATAGTGGTATCATCCACTAGTCGAAGTAGGTCTTTGTCCAAAGGTTGAACAAGCGTTGAAGAATTCTTTGTAAGAAGATCCCATGATGCTGCAGTGTCTGACAGTTGTGATGAATGGTTTGAAAAACCGACAAGTTGAAGATTGAGACACTTATGCAGCATATGGGAATCTTTATTCAGGAAACGTTTCGCCACACAGTGGCTTCATCAGTCCATTACAAAGAGGAAGGCGTAAGGAGAGGAGGAGTATGAGGTAATCAGTCCCTCAGCCTGGAGTCGATGTGTTCAGTCCATCAATCTTGTAGAGTGTACAGCATAGGGCCGTAGACGTGGCTTATATACTGTAGTGAGGTGACTTGAAGCAGGTGGAGGCGGGATCATAGTGGTATCATCCACTAGTCGAAGTAGGTCCTTGTCCAAAGGTTGAACAAGCGTTGAAGAATTCTTTGTAAGAAGATCCCATGATGCTGCAGTGTCTGACAGTTGTGATGAATGGTTTGAAAAACCGACAAGTTGAAGATTGAGACACTTATGCAGCATATGGGAATCTTTATTCAGGAAACGTTTCGCCAACAGTGGCTTCATCAGTCCATTACAAAGAGGAAGCGTAAGGAGAGGAGGAGTATGAGGTAATCAGTCCCTCAGCCTGTGAGTCGATGTGTTCAGTCCATCAATCTTGTAGAGTGTACAGCATAGGGCCGTAGACGTGGCTTATATACTGTAATGAGGTGACTTGAAGCAGGTGGAGGCGGGATCATAGTGGTATCATCCACTAGTCGAAGTAGGTCTTTGTCCAAAGGTTGAACAAGCGTTGAAGAATTCTTTGTAAGAAGATCCCATGATGCTGCAGTGTCTGACAGTTGTGATGAATGGTTTGAAAAACCGACAAGTTGAAGATTGAGACACTTATGCAGCATATGGGAATCTTTATACAGGAAACGTTTCGCCACACAGTGGCTTCATCAGTCCATTACAAAGAGGAAGGCGTAAGGAGAGGAGGAGTATGAGGTAATCAGTCCTCAGCCTGGAGTCGATGTGTTCAGTCCATCAATCTTGTAGAGTGTACAGCATAGGGCCGTAGACGTGGCTTATATACTGTAGTGAGGTGACTTGAAGCAGGTGGAGGCGGGATCATAGTGGTATCATCCACTAGTCGAAGTAGGTCTTTGTCCAAAGGTTGAACAAGCGTTGAAGAATTCTTTGTAAGAAGATCCCATGATGCTGCAGTGTCTGACAGTTGTGATGAATGGTTTGAAAAACCGACAAGTTGAAGATTGAGACACTTATGCAGCATATGGGAATCTTTATGCAGGAAACGTTTCGCCACACAGTGGCTTCATCAGTCCATTACAAAGAGGAAGGCGTAAGGAGAGGAGGAGTATGAGGTAATCAGTCCCTCAGCCTGGAGTCGATGTGTTCAGTCCATCAATCTTGTAGAGTGTACAGCATAGGGCCGTAGACGTGGCTTATATACTGTAGTGAGGTGACTTGAAGCAGGTGGAGGCGGGATCATAGTGGTATCATCCACTAGTCGAAGTAGGTCTTTGTCCAAAGGTTGAACAAGCGTTGAAGAATTCTTTGTAAGAAGATCCCATGATGCTGCAGTGTCTGACAGTTGTGATGAATGGTTTGAAAAACCGACAAGTTGAAGATTGAGACACTTATGCAGCATATGGGAATCTTTATTCAGGAAACTGTCAGACACTGCAGCATCATGGGATCTTCTTACAAAGAATTCTTCAACGCTTGTTCAACCTTTGGACAAAGACCTACTTCGACTAGTGGATGATACCACTATGATCCCGCCTCCACCTGCTTCAAGTCACCTCACTACAGTATATAAGCCACGTCTACGGCTCTATGCTGTACACTCTACAAGATTGATGGACTGAACACATCGACTCCAGGCTGAGGGACTGATTACCTCATACTCCTCCTCTCCTTACGCCTTCCTCTTTGTAATGGACTGATGAAGCCACTGTGTGGCGAAACGTTTCCTGAATAAAGATTCCCATATGCTGCATAAGTGTCTCAATCTTCCACAATTTATATTATATTTTTCATTGTTAAGTGGTTGTATTTGGGGGCCTAGAACAGATTACCCCTATAACGAATGAACACTATAATGAGCGAGGTTCTAGAACCAATCAGACTCATCATAGCATGCCCCAATGTATTCATATAGTGTACAGAGAATTAAGCAAAACAACTGTTTTGTTGATTCTCTTAGTGACAGGTGAAAATTATTTTAAAGTTTACTACAAAGATTATATCATAGGTAGTAGGTTGGTAGACAGCAACCTGCCACAGAGGTACTACCGTCCTGCCAAGTGAGTGTAAAATGGAATCCTGTAATTGTTTTACATGATGGTAGGATTGCTGGTGTCTTTTTTCTGTCTCTTAAGCATGCAAGATTTCAGGTACGTCTTACTACTTCTACTTACACTTAGGTCACACTACATATACATGTACAATCATATATATACACACCCCTCTGGGTTTTCTTCTATTTTCTTTCTAGCTCTTGTTCTTGTTTATTTCCTCTTATCTCCATGGGGAAGTGGAACAGAATTCTTCCTCCATAAGCCATGCATGTTGTAAGAGGTGACTAAAATGCCGGGAGCAAGGGGCTAGTAACCCTTTCTCCTGTATAAATTGCTAAATTTAAAAAGAAACTTTTGTTTTTCTTTCTGGGCCACCCTGCCTTGGTGGGATACGGCTGGTTCGTTGAAAAAAAAAAATGAAGATTATATCACAGCAGTGAGCAACAATGCCCACTCAATAGCAGAGAAACTATTCTGGAACATGTGTAATACTGGACATCACACTGGATGGAGGGAGTATGGAAGCAGTGAATGTTTTCAGATACAGTGGTACCCCGGTATACGTCCTGTTTGGACATGAAAATTTTTGCTTGATATACGACCTTTGTTTGGAATACGACTCGCCTGCTAGAACTTGTATGGGTTAAAATGAGTCATGACACTGTGCGCTACCCTTGTGACGAAACAGGCCTGTTTTGGAATAAAATGCATAACAGGACCTATAATACACAAGAGGAAAAGGCATTATCAGGACACAAGCCAATGAAGGATAGGTTAACTCTCTTGTTCTGTCCCAATGCAAGTGGGAATTGCAAACTGAAGCCTCTACTGATCTACCACTCTGAAAACCCAAGGGCCTTTAAAAAAATAACATCACAGTTACCTGTGATGTGGAGGTCAAACAGCAAGGCTTGGGTAACAAGAGAATATTTCAGGAAATGATTTAATGCTGTGTTTGGGTCCAGTGTAAAAAGTTATTTGGAGGAGAAAAACCTGCCTCTGAAGGCCCTCCTCATAATGGACAATGCTCCAGCTCACCCTTCAAGCTTGCAGGACTATATGCTGCCAGAGTTTGACTTCATCACTGTAAAGTGTCTCCCCCCTAACACAACTCCTCTCATTCAGCCCATGAATCAGCAGGTCATCAGTAATTTCAAGAAACTCTATACTACAGCACTATTCCAGAGATGCTTTGAAAAGCCCTCTGACACAGAGTTAGCTCTGAGAGAGTTTTGGAAAGATAACTTAAAGTACTATCGCCCATTGCATAACTCTCACTGACAAAGCCTGGCAGGAATTTTCATACAGAACAATGAACTCTGCTTGGAGGAATTTGTGGCCAGAAGCAGTAGCTGAAAGGGGCTCTGAGAGATTTGAGGTTATCTACAGTGGAGGATATTGTCTCTCTGGGGTAGGTCCATGGGTCTGGATGTGAGTGATGGTGATGTGGAGGACTTAGTGGAGGGGCACAGGGAAGAGCTGACCACTGAGGAACTGCAGAAACTGGAGGAGGAGGAGCACAAGACTTAAAATGGATGCACTCTCTTCAGGCTCGGAAGAGGAGACAGAGGAAGCCCCTACTTCATTAATCAAGGAAATCTTTGCCAAATGGATGGGCGTCGAAAACTATGCAGAGGAGTACCACACCAACAAAGCCCAAACAACCTGTAACAGCGCTGTCTGGAATGACCAGACAATGTCACATTTCCAAAACATCCTGAGGAGAAGGCAGAAGCAAAGTTCTTTGGACAGATTTTTATTAAAAGTCAAACCTGGTGAGCTTCAAACAGGTCCAAACATGGAGAAGAGACAGAAAAGAGAAGGGGACTCTCCTTCCAAACAATAACAGCAATGTAAAGTGAAGTTAAATTTGCATTTATTTCATCTAATTCTTTTGTATTTAAGTATGTATTATAGTATTAAGCAGTGTTTAGCCCTTTGACTGTTTTGGTTCTATATATACGTCTTA